CATTGTTGACTTCATTTCCAAGTATCGCTAGAAAATGCCTAACAGCTGTGTCCAGTGCAAAACTCCTGTCCAGGTAAAGTAAGCAGGAACTTTTCACTTCTTTTGTAACCCTGACTTATGCCCTCTCCATTAAGCCATCTGTGATTCCTACACGGGATAACAATCTCCTTCTTCTAGCCAGTACTTGGTTTCTATTTTCATCATGTTCCCTAAATATTGCCTTTACTCTCTGCGGCACAAACCTCTGCAAAGTGACTCTTAGGTCTTCCCTGAACTGTGCACTCTGCATATTATATATAAAAGGATTCCAAGCTGTACTAGCCACAAACAACCACCACGAAAGGTATGTGATCAGTATGGTGTTCTTGCAGCCGGCAAAACCGCGTATCTCAGGGAATAAGTACAGCACGTTGTTTGTGATGTAGTCCACACCGACGGGAATTGTGGCTAGCAAGAAGGAGACGGTCATCAGTAGCTGGGTGATAAGGATGTGACGATTTTCTTGGTGAAGGGGGCCTAAAACCCGTATACCTAGTGTTTGTCTTTCTGCACTAACCCGCATTTGTTCCTGTAGGAAGTTGACGATAGACAAAATGGAAAATGCTACCGTACACGGAATAGATATTATCATGGTAAGCTTTTGGATAATATCACTTGTAATATATGATGCCTTATTAAAGAAGTAAGTGGATGAACCGATTGGCAACTTTACCATAGGTAACCACTGGACATTGCCTATTTCTTGCATAAAATGGGTCATAAACAATGCATCTGAAATACCAACAATCCATGTGAAAATGATGACGACTTTTACTGATCGGTGAGTGATGTAGTGATTATAAACCAAGCCTCTACCTGTTCGTACAAATCTGTCAAAGCTGAGAAGAAAAAGAGTTAGCAACGACACTACCGTACAAGAACTGAAAACTATTCCTTGGAATAAATGATAATCCTTTTCACTATACAAACGAACACGTACATGTGTAAGTTTTTCTTGTAAGTTTATAGGCTCTACGAAGGGCTTTATATGGTGGTAGAGAGATGGCCAGATGGTGAATATGGAAGTAAAGAGATCAGCCAAAGCCAAGTTTAAGCGAAGCATGTTCGACGTTTCATCGTGACGCCACAACCTGACCATAACCATTACAACCAAGGCATTACCCACTGAGCTCCCCACCGCCACGCATGAGACCATGACTATCAGCCCAATCTCAGCTGCACGACACCAAGGAGACAGGAAACTCCAGGCACCATTCAGCCCATACTTCTCTGGACTGTCATACCAATGGACATTATAATAGGGGTAGCAACAAGGCCATTGCTCATTATTGTAGGAGTAATTGTTCTTTGTACTCACGAGAAATTCACATAATTCATCTGAGTCAGATGATAGCATGCAAGTTAGCACGAATTCTAGACCTTGAGTTTCCGATTTGAAAAGAGAATATGTACCTTCGCACAACTTTTTCAAACATACATTTTTATCTGCAAGTATGTATTCAAAAACGTGGGTGATAGCATATTGATTTTCAGATGAGAGTACCGGACAGGTACTTGTATGTATAAAAAAGATATTACCGCACTTCGCATAGAAGTTATGAAATTCACAGCTGTCAAACCTTTCAAAAAGAGGCAAGCATAGTCTAGTCACATCTTTATCGTAGTAGAACCAGAAACGTTTGCCATCTCTCTGACTTTGATGACCCACTATATCAGTACCATACAGAGAATGATAAATCAAATCACACAACTCATGTGCTCCAACGAGGTTGAACTTTAACCTTGAGTTTGATAATGAGCATTCGGATCCAGAATTCAGCGTCATTGCATCGCCTAAGTAGTGCTTGGAAAATTCCCTTGGTGGGTGGCTACAAAGAAACATTGTCGACTTAGTGGAGGGCAACGAAAGGCGAAGAGTTAGTTTCTTATCCTCCTCCAGAGACAAATAATCATCAGTAGCATATCTTGCGTCGGATTGACCTGGAGGCAGCGTGGAAACACCTTCAAGAGGTCCATTTTGCAGATAATTCAGATCGTCTTTGCTAAGATGCGAAACCTGTGAAGCATGTTGGATCTGCCTTGGGATTCTGTTGGAAAAACAACAAAATCTATAAATCTATAGTGTGATAACCACAGAAAACTGCACTGGGAATATCCCATACATACACATATACATACATATATACATATATATTCATATATATATATGTGAATATATATATATATGTATATACATATATATACACATTCATACACGCACACACACACATACACACACACACACACACACACACACACATATATATATTTATGTATTCGCATATTTATTCACTATATATAACATATATACCGATATCGTTATCTATACATAGAATCGTATATATTTATTCATATATAGACATATCAATATTATATACATATATATATATATGATATATAGATATACGAATAGATAGAGAGTCGATATATAGGGATATAGAGATAGAGATATATAGATAGA